TTTTTTGATATATCTCCTCTTTCAAGAGAAACAAAAGAAAAAATAAACAGACTAAATCAATCTAAAAGGTTTTTGCACAACAAAAGAAACCATCAACAAAATTAAAAGACACCCCACTGAATGTGAGCACATATTCATTAATGATATATCTGATAATTTCCAAAATTTAAAGAAATCATGTACAACTGAACACCATGAAAATAAAAAATCCGATTAAAAAATAGGCAAAAGACCTGAAGAGACACTTCTCCAAAAAAAAAAAATACAGACCAATAGACATATGAAAAGATGCTCAACACCACTAATCATCAGAGAAATGCAAATTAACACCACAATAACGTATCGCCTCATGCCTGTCAGAATATCTTTCATCAATAAATCAACAAGCGTTGGCAAGGATGTGGAAAGAAGGGAGCCCTTGTGCACTGCTGGGTGGAGTGCAGACTGGTGCAGCCACTGTGGAAAACAGTATGGTATTTCCTCCAAAAATTAAAAATGAATCTGTTCTGACCCATGGATTCCACTTCTGAGAATATATCCAAAGAAATCTGAAATGCAAATTTGAAAAAAATATTTGTACCCCTATGTTCATTGCAGTGTTATCAATCTTTGCAATAGCCAAGATTTGGAAGCAGCCCAAGTGTCCATCAGGAGATGAATGGATCAAAAGCTGTGGTACATGCACACAATGAAGCACTATTTGGCCACTTAAGAAAAGGAAATCTTACTTTTTGGGACAGTATGAATTGGCCTGGAAAATATTATGCTAAGTGAAAGAAGTCAGTCAAAGAAAAACAAATACCATATGATTTCACTTATATGTAGGATCTAATGAAAAAAATAAAAATAAACTAACAAAATAGAAACAGAATCATAGATACAATGAACAGACCAACAAAAAACACACATAGATACTAACAACAGTACAGTGATAGAGGAGAGAGGGGTGGGGAGGATTGGATAAAATATGGCAGAAAAAGACTTGACTTTGGGAAGTGAATGCATGATGCAATATGCAATGATGGGTTAGAGAGCTGTACGCTTAAAAGCTGTATGGTTTTATTAACCAGTGTCACCTTAATAAATTCAATAAAAAATGCTGATGCTGGAAATGTATATGCTTATTTCAAATGGTTACCTATTGTTTAAAATGAAGATTTCCTATTAGGTATCAAGTGCTTAAAATTTTATTTATTGTATACATACATATAAATTTTATATATATTGTGTGTATATATATGAAGACAATTTCTTTAAAAAGAAAAGATATACATAGTAACTTTCTAAAATTATATTTGTCTCTAAAATCACATTTGTTTGGCATAAAGTCTCTAATAATTCAAATATTAACTAAACCTCTGTTTTTGAAGTATTATTATGGTTATACAAAAGTAATTTAGCTATCCTAGTGTCCAGTTTTTTTATTTTATTTATTTTAAATTTATAAATCATGTTTATTCTATTACAGTTGTCTCAATTTTTACCCCTTTTCCCCCCCTTCACCCATCTCACCCCCACCCCCCACTCCCACAGTCAATTCCCACTCTGTTGTCCACGTCCATGAGTCATTCATACATATTCTTTATCTAGTCCCTTCCCCTTCTTTCCACCATTGTCCTCTTTCTCTATCCCCTCTGGTCATTTTCAGTCTGCTCCATGTTTCTGTGCCTGTGGTTTATTTTGTAGAATAAAGTCCACTTACAGGTGAGATCATATGGTATTTGTCTTTCATCAACTGGCTTATTTCACTTAGCTTAATACTCTCCAGTTCCATCCATGTTGTCGCAAAAGGTGAGAGTTCCCTCTCTCTCTCTCTCTCTCTTTCTTTCTTAAATGCAGATTGATTTTATTTATTTTTTTAGAAGTCAAAGTTAATTATAAAATATTAAAAAAATTTAAAACCATTTTAAAGTCTCAGAAATTAAACCAACAGGACACCAGCACAGAAATAATCAAGTAGATCAATGAAATATAATGAGCATTCTATAGACAAACATATATATCTAACAATATAATATATGATTAAGTTGATATTTCAAAGAAATGGATAAAATAAGGCTTATTCAACAAATAAGGTGCATAGACCACTATTACTTGAAATAAAACAAATATTGAGCCCTATTTTATGCATTATGCATGAAATATTCAGGTGAGTTAAAAATCAATATGTAGAATCTAAGGAATTTTAGAAGAAAATAGAACTAATATTTTTCATGACCTTAAGTAAAATATTCAAACCCAGAAGCTATAAAGTAAATATTGACAATATGACTATATTAAACACTTAACTATATAGTAATATACATATTAAAAAAGTTAAAGGACAAGGAATAGAATAGAAAAGTTTTTATAACACATCTAAAACCTGGTTAACAGATTTTTGTTTTGTTTTGTTGTTAATAGGGAAAAAAGTTCTATAAACTTTTAATCAATAAATGGATAAAGAATACCAAAAAGTCATTTAAAGCTTTTTTAAAAAAATAATAGAGATAGGCAAGAAATATACAAAAACAGGTTTAGTTTCAACAAATAGTAAAGCAACAATTAAAATAACATCATTGTCAGAATCAGATTAATGAATATTAAAAATATTGGTAATATCAAGTATTGGCAACTCTGAAAGGAACTGGGTATTTATAGAAACTTTTTCTTCATCTTAAAGCAGTCCCTTTAGCATATTTTGCAGTGCTGGTTTGTTGGAGGTGTATTCCTTTAGCCTTCTTTTGTCTGGAAAACTCCTTATTTCACCTTCCCTTTTAATCGAGAGCTTTGCTGGGTAGAGCAGTCTTGGTTGCAGGCCTTTGTTCTTCATGACTTGGAATATTTCTTGCCATTCCCTTCTGGCTTGTAGTGTTTCTGTTGAGAAGTCAGCTGCTAGCCATATCAGGGCTCCCTTATATGTTACTACCTCTTTCTCCCTTGCTGCCTTTAGGATTCTCTGTTTGTCTTTGATATTTGCCATTTTAATGATGATGTGTCAGAGTGGGCCTCATTGGGTTCCTCTTGAATGGGACCCTCTGTGCTTCCTGCACTTGTGTCACTTTCTCTCTCCTCCAATTAGGGAAGTTTTCCATCATTAGTTTTTCAAACAGGTTCTCTATCCCTTACCCCTCTTCTTCTCCTCCTGGTATCCCTATTATGCAGATATTATTACGTTTCAGTTTGTCCTGCATTTCCCTAAATGCCTCTTCAATCTTTTTGAGTCTTTTTTCATTTTCATGCTCTTTCTGGGAGCTTTTTTCTACCTTGTCCTCCTGCTCACTGATTCAGTCCTCAGCTTCATTGAACCTGCTTTTGATTCCTTCTACTGTGTTCTTCAATTCAGAAATTGTATTCTTCATTTCCTATTGTCTCTTATTGAGTTTCCATGTCCTTTTTTATGCTGATGTAGTTTGCAGTAAGTTCCTCATAGTTTCCCTGTAGTTTTTGGTAATTCTGAGTTCACTGAACTCATTGAGCTTCCTTAGAACTGTTGTTTGGAACTCAATGTCTGATAGTTTACTTGCCTCTATTTCATTTAGTTCTCTTTCTGGGGATTCCTCCTTTCCGTTCGAGTGGGGCATATTTCTTTGTCTTCCCATTATTTGTGAGATTCTTCCCTTTTGCTTCTGATTCTTAAATTGATCTGTCTTGATTTCCTGACTTTTTGGTGTGAACCCTAGTGTTCACTTATAATATATTCAACAAGATGTTATTTCAAAGAAGTTATATTTTAGCATTGAATTTATTCACTATGAAATGAACTGTGCTTAATTTTCTTAGTAAAGCTTTGGTACACATTATTAAAATATATATTGGGTTTATGTTAATGTTGAAAATTAAATAGAAGCATAAAGGTGAAATTTGAGATGCTTCTTAAAGTTAGGTATATACTAGTTATATAACTCAACTGATGAAAGAAATACTTCCTAAGAAAATTTTACCTGGAATAAGATATCTCAAGTGTCTTCAATAACTTTAAATGTTTCATAGACAGTGAAATCGGATGCTTTTTCCTACTAGTCCTCTACCTGTTTTGTATGTCATATTTTAAACTGATTTTCCATAGTTTTAAGAATGATACATGAACCAGAGGAAAATGAAAACCAGGAAATATTGGTTTATTTTTGCTAAGTTTCCCCAGTTCCCAAATATTGGGTCATCATTCTGCTGGATAACTTCCTCAAACTTCTTCTGGGACACAGATCTCATAATAAAATTAAAATATGCTCGCCAAAAGTTGCGTGTGTGTGTGTGTGTGTGTGTGTGTGTGTGTGTATGGTTCATCAGCACCCTGATACTATTTTCCCAAAGGTCCTTAAGAATTAGTCTCAAAGAATATTTCTGAAGCAAAAAAAAAATCTGTAGAAAGTACAATAGAGGTGCTAGGTTTACTTTTTGCTTAGGGAAAATAAAAGGACATGGTCCTCTGTGAAATATGAGATTATCAAAAAAGAATTCTAAATTGGTTTTATTTCATAAATTTTATTTGAAGATTGGTGTTAAGAAAGCAGGTGGAATATTTCAGGACTTTAGGTTCAGGACAATGGTGAGAAAAAGGAAACATTCATTAGATGTTTTGAGATAGAGCATCAAGGTTTTTATGAGAAAATATAGAGCTTCGTGGGAAGAGAGGGAAAATATTGTTTCTCCATGAAGTGTTAGAATACTACCTGTCTTTTAATTTAAGATATTGAGCACATCAGCTTGCTTTCAATAGTTAATACTAACCATCAAACTTTTGACAACATATGTGTTTTCAATTTATTTTTATTTGATATTTCAACTTCTATTCATTATACAGCATTGATTACCACTTCTAGTTTGTTTCTTTTATATATGTAATACATATACTATATACAATATATATTAATTAGTTAAATCAATTAACTGAAATGAAAAAAATTGAATAGTGATTTTTATAAATTAACTGAAGTATATGGAACGTGGCATGGTTTCCTTAATATTAATACATTTACACTTTAGAAAGACCTGATGCATATTCTGGTGCGGTAGCCAAGATGGTTCTAAATGACATACGTAAAGCACATATTTTTCATCTAAACTTTATATACAAGTACTTCTGAACTTCATTAACATATTTAGTGAAAAGATTGATGCTCAGCTGTTAACTAGATTTTTAAAATCTATTTTAATGGAAATTTTAAAACAATAGAGTGAAAAACTCAGTTAATTGAATTTTCATGGAAAGTCACCTTTTCTAAGAAAACCAAGAATAAAGAGAGGGGTTTAGAGTATTCACTGATATCTGGAAATAAAATGTGTAGTGAATTGAAAATATATAGGTAGTATTTATATTAACCCCTATTTAATATAAATAAAAGTTTGTAATACAATGTTAGAATGACTTGGTTTTTTACAAAGAAAAGGGCAATAAATAAATAAATAAATAAATGTAATATTTACTACTCCTCAAAAAGAACATTCAGAGTATCACTGAAAAATATAAATTAGGGTCGGTTGAGCACTGATTTCCATCTTCAGTAGGAATTTCATGCCTGGAAAAAATGTCATAAGAAAGACATCATGTCTTCTACATTTTAGCTAAACAATGAAGCATGAAAAGAGTTCATGTTCAGTCAATACATTTCCCATGTAACAATTATAAACAACAGAAGCAAAGTAAACATGCAGCAAAGAATCAGAAGACATTATTCAGAGTAATACAACAGATATTAAACACAGACGATAACACCCATAAAATGTATAGCTGGGGGAAATGGTGATTATATAGAATGTATAGAAAGAATTTTTTTAAGCCTCAGGAACTTCTTATGAAAATAAAATCATTATTTAAAATATAGGTGCAGATATTTACACTTATCTAACTAATTTATATTTGTCTGTCTTGATTTTGCCAGTAAGATTTCTGAAAAATCAAACAGCCATGACAGATTTCATCCTCCTGGGTCTGACCAATAATCCAGATGTACAGGTCATGATTTTCTTCTTTTTATTACTCATGTATGTACTGAGTGTCACTGGAAATCTTACTATCATCATTCTTACTTTGCTGGATTCCCACCTGAAGACCGCTATGTATTGTTTCCTCAGAAATCTCTCCTTAGAAATTTCATTTACTTCTGTCTGTAATCCTAGGTTTTTGATCAGCATCCTAAGTGGAGGCAAATCTATTTCCATAATGCTTGTGCAGCTCAGCTATTCTTAATCTTCCTTGGTTCAACAGAGTTTTTTCTTTTGGTCTCTATGTCCTATGGTCATTATGTAGCTATCTGCAAACTCCTACATTATACAATCATTATGCAAGATCTGCTACCAGCTTGTCGGCAGCTCCTGGCTGGCTGGTTTCTTGGTCATCTTTCCACCACTGACCATGGGCCTGCAGCTGGATTTCTGTGACTCCATTGTCATTGGCTACTTCACCTGTGATTCTGCTCCTTTGCTGCAAATTTCTTGCACAGACATGAGTATGCTAGAGCTCATGAGCTTTGTTTTAGCTGTGCTTACTCTCATGTCCACTTTGACATTAATAATTCTCTCTTATTCTTACATCCTCAGAACAATTTTGAGAATCCCCTCAGTTCGACAAAGAAAAAAGGCCTTTTCAACCTGTTCCTCCCATATGATTGTTGTCTCTATCTCTTACAGAAGCTGCATCTTCATGTATGTGAAAACGTCAGCAAAGGAAGGGGTTGCTTTTACAAAAGGAGTAGCAATGCTCAATACCTCTCTTGCTCCTATGCTGAATCCCTTTATTTACACCTTAAGGAACCAGCAGGTGAAACAAGCATTTAAGGATGTTGTAAGAAGGTTACGCTCCTCAAAAACATTTTACTGGCTGTAATTTATAACAGACACATACAGAATTTTAAACAGAGAATCAATGAATGATTTTTAAAAGTATCTTCTCTGTCATCTTTTATTTCTTCTCAGAAATATGATTGTTTATGTTATTTTGGATATCAAATCCTTACGTTACAAATCCTTCTTAAATAACTTTAAGATTTTATTTATTTATGTTTAGAGAGAGGGGAAGGGAGGGAGAAAGAGAGGGACAGAAACATTGATGTGTAAGAGAAACACTGATAAGTGGCCTCTTGCACATGCCCCAGTTGGGGACCAGGCCTAGATTCGAATGTAAATACGTACCTATGCACCAACATGTATATGTATGTGCATATGTATTTGTGTGTTTTTGTGTATCTAAATATACCTATATATGCTTGCTTTTAAAAAATAAAACAAAGGGGTAATTCAGCCACCTGAATAAGGAATAACTCATAAAAGGAACAATAAAATAAAAGTTAAACAATGTGGAAAAAGAGGTTGTTAATTATTATACTGAGCAAGAAATTTAACTCACAATTTACATATAGTCTATATAAAATTGTAAATACATATTACATATTTGCCATCAAGATAGAAAATCTGTATGGTAAAAATGTTTTTGCTATTTTTTAAATTTTTACAGCAACAATATATGGGTGCTTAAATAAGAAAAAATAATACAACAAAATATAACTTTAAAAACAATTTCCTAAATGTAGAACTTTTATAATTAGCATTAATACTTTTTAAAAAAGGCAGTAGCATGTAGGCACATTTCTATAAAATATTCTTACAGAGAGCTGGCAAAGTCTGGCTTGGGAACAATACTCTCTCTCCTCTCTGAGGACCTTAATTACCCATGATTGTAATTTGGAACTCTTTAACCATACAAATACTAGCTAATTGTGTTGTTTTCTCTCTTACCAGTGTCTCTAACTTTGGTAAGACTTGATGATTGTATTATGTAAGATTATATTGGTTGCCAAATAAGCATTAAAAATAAAATCAGGTTAAGAAAAAACAATTTAATAAATTAAAAATCTTAGGTAGACTCATAAGAGCCATGAAAATTCTGTTTAGCTCAGGAGCTGAAAAATCAATTTATCTATACTATGACCATTTATTGCTCATAATTTCTCTCATATGCTTCCCTCTGTCTCTGTTTTTAATATATGTCATTATTTGATTCACTTTTGTTTCCTTCTTTCATAGCAGATCATTGTTTGTCATGTGATAAATTGTACAGTTCCTTGTAGACTTCAATTCATTCTTTTCAGTTCATGATAAGAGGCAGGAGACTTCCTGCTACCAAGTTCAATGAAAGTAGCAGTTAGAAGATGTCAACAGATACACCTTTGAATAGATAGCAATCATTAGACCATCTCTTTTATTTCTGAGCATAACTTCCATGTTGCAGAGCCATACTGCATTGCTTAAGTATATGCGTGCTGAAGTTAAGCTGTCTCGATCTGTACTCTGGCTCTGTGATTTACAAGCTTGAGATTTTCAGAAAATTTTAAACTTCTCTGGGGTTCAGATTTTTTACACTTACAGGAGGTACAATAATTTTACTTTATCATGGATTTTTTGTTAGGTTTACATAGGTTAAACTTCTAAAACATGATAGTAATATAGTAAGGGTTCAGTAATTTAATATTATTATTACTATTGTTGTAACAATTACTTTTATTCACATAGTCTGGGTCATATTATAAACTGAAGAGATAGAGGTGGGGTGGTAGCTAACCTTGCTTGACAGTGAGGGAGAAATAATTGTTGGGTATAGACAAATCATTCGAATTTATTTCAGCCAACTCCATTTGGATAATTTGGTTAAATGGAAAGTATATCTGCAGATACAGAAGCACATTCCAAGGTAATGACTACCTAGGGCTACTCTTTAGCACAGACTTGATAAATTTATGGTAACAAAAAATTGTCTCTTTGTCTTGTCCAACTGTCATATTTTATCAGATTTTGATTCTCACCAATCACAGTCAAAAGATAGTCAAATGTATGTGACAATATAAATTAATCACTTAAAAAGTATTTCATGTGTAGGGAGCCACATGCTTGACATTAGTACACTAGAAAAACTAAGTATCTTTTCATAAAATCAGTGTTCAAAAATTGAAAGTATCATCTTCTCCCTCCTACCAAATCTACTATTTACCCATAATCTTATTTGATAAATATCACCTTACCCAACCTGCCAAACCAGAAACCTGGGACCCATCTCATACTGTTTTTTTCCTTATTCTTCTATCAGATTGCTCATCAAATGTTGTGGGGTTTACTTCCTAATGTTTTGATCTTTCTTTTTTTAAATTTTTTTTATTGTTCTAATACATTTGTCTCCATTTTCCTGCCACCACTTTCCCCTTCCCCACCTACCACCACCTCCCACCCTCAATCCTTCCCCACTTTGGCTTTGTCCATTGGTCCTTTATACACATACTTTGTTTTTTGTTTTGTTTTGTTTTGTTTTTATACACATACTTTGATTTGACCCTTCTCCTTCTTCCCATTACCCCCCTCTCTCTTTCCCTTTCATTACTGTCCATTTCTTTTCCTTCCAATGTTGCTGGTTATATTTTTCTTGCTTGTTTGTTTTGTTGATTAGGTTCCACTTATAGGTGAGATCATATGGTATTTGTCTTTCACTGCTTGGCTTATTTCGCTTAGCATAAAGCTCTCCAGTTCCATCCATGCATAGTGAACAGTAGGAGCTCTTTCTTTCTTTCTGCTGTGTAGTATTCCATTGTGTAAATGTAGCATAGGTATTTTTTTTAATTTAATCTTTATTTTTATTTCAATTTATTTTTTCAAATACATTTGTCTCTGCCTACCCCACACCACTTTCCCTTGCTCCCTCCCTCCTAACCTCCTTCAGCTCTTCCCCTTTGGTTTTGTCCATGAGTCCTTGCTATATGTTCCTTGACTTTCCCCTTTCTTTCCTTTTCCCCGCCCCCCCTCACTCCTTCCCTCTTGTCTCTGTTAATTTCTTTTCCTTTCAGTGTTGCTGGTCTTCTTTTCCTTGCATCATTGTATTGTTGGTTAGGTTCCACTTATAGGTGAGATCATATGGTATTTGTCTTTCGCCCCCTGGCTTATTTGGCTTAGCATAATGCTCTCCAGTTCTATCCATGCTATCGCGAATTTTAGTAGTTCTTTTTTTCTTTCTGCTGCATAGTATTCCATTATGTATATGTACAATGACTTTTTGATCCAATCATCTACTGATGGGCATTTAGGTTGCTTCCAACACTTGGCTATTGTAAATTGTGCTGCTATGAACATTGGGGTGCATAGGTTCTTTTGTATTAGCGTTTTGGTGTTCTTAGGGTATAGTCCCAGCAGGGGAATCACTGGATCAAAAGGTAGTTCCATTTTCAGCTTTTTGAGGAAATTCCACACTGCTTTCCACAGTGGCTGCACCAGTCTGCATTCCCACCAACAGTGGACTAGGGTTCCCTTTTCTCCACAGCCTCGCCAGCACCTGTTGTTTGTGGATCTGTTTATGATGGCCATTCTGACCGGTGTGAGGTGGTACCTCATGGTGGTTTTGATCTGCATTTCTCTGATGGCTAGTGATGCTGAGCATCCTTTCAAATGCATCTGGGCCCTCTGTATCTCCTCCTTGGAAAAGCATCTGCCCAGGTCCTTTGCCCATTTTTGGATTGGATCGTTTGTCTTCTTGGAGTGGAGTCGAGTGAGTTCTTTATATATCTTGGAGATCAAACCTCTATCTGATGTATCATTAGCGAATATATTTTCCCATAGGGTTGGCTCCCTTTTCATTTTGCTGACGTTTTCTTTTGCCATGCAGAAGCTTCTTATTTTGATGAGGTCCCACTTCTTTATTCTTTCCTTTATGTCCCTTGCTTTAGGAGACATATCAGTGAAAAAACTGCTGCGTGGGATATCTGAGAGTTTCCTGCCAATGTTCTTCTCTAGGACTTTGATGGTGTTGCGACTTATATTTAAGTCTTTGATCCATCTTGAGTTTATTTTTGTGTATGGTGTCAGGTGACGATCCAACTTCAATTTTTTGCATGTACCCGTCCAGCTCTCCCAACACCATTTGTTGAAGAGGCTGTTATTGCTCCATTTTATGATTCTGCCCCCTTTGTCGAATATTAGATGTCCATAGAGACCTGGGCTTATTTCTGGGCTTTCTATTCTGTTCCACTGGTCTATGGGTCTGTTCTTGTGCCAGTACCAGATTGTTTTGAGTATAGTGGCTTTGTAGGAGAGTTTGTTGTCCGGTATAAAATTGCTGGGGCTATTCAGGGTCGTTTATGGTTCCATATAAATTTTTGAAATGTCTGTTCTATTTCTGTGAAATACGACATTGGTATCTTAATAGGGATTGCATTGAATCTATAAATTGCTTTGGGTAGTATGGACATTTAGATGATATTAATTCTTCCAATCCATGAGCATGGTATATGCTTCCATTTACTTGTTTCTTCCTTAATTTCTTGCTTCAATGTTTTATAGTTTTCTGCGTACAGGTCTTTTACATCTTTGGTTAAAATATACCTAGGTACTTTATTTTTCTTCTTGCTATATCGAATGGTATTTTTTTCTGATTTCTTCTTCTTCTATTGCCTTGCTGGTGTACAAAAATGTCTTTGATTTCTGAATATTGACTTTGTATCCTGCTGTTTTGCCAAATTCACTTATTAGGTTGAGGAGTTTTTTGGTAGAGTCTACAGGGTTCTCTATGTACACTATCATGTGATCTGCAAACAATGATAGTTTTACTTCCTCCTTTCCTATTTGGATGCCTTTTATCTCTTTCTCTTGTCTGACCGCTGTGGCTAGGACTTCCAATACGATGTTGAAAAGAAGCGGTGAAAGCGGACATCCTTGGCGTGTTCCCGATCTTAGTGGGAAAGCTGTCAGTTTTTGCCTGTTGAGTATGATATTGGCTGTAGGTTTTTCATATATGGCTTTTATTACATTGAGGAATGCCCCATTTATTCCCATTTTGCTGAGGGTTTTGATCATAAATGGGTGCTGTACCTTGTCGAATGCTTTTTCTGCATCTATCGAGATGATCATGTGGTTTTTGTCTTTTCTTTTATTTATGTGATGTATCACGTTTACTGATTTCCGTATACTGAGCCATCCCTGCATGCCTGGGATGAATCCCACTTGATCATGGTGGATAATCTTTTTAATGTATTGCTGGATGCAGTTTGCCAATATTTTGTTGAGGATTTTAGCATCTATGTTCATCAGCAAAATTGGCCTGTAGTTTTCTTTCTTTGTAGGGTCTTTATCTGGTTTTGGGATCAGGGTGATGCTGGCCTCATAGAAAGAGTCTGAGAGTCTTCCCTCCTCTTGGACTTTTTGGAATAGTCTGAGAAGGACAGGGGTTAGCTCTTCCTTAAATGTTTTGTAAAATTCTCCTGGGAAACCGTCCGGACCCGGGCTTTTGTGTGCGGGGAGTTTCTTGATGACTGCTTCCATTTCCCCAGCTGTTATCGGTCTGTTCAAGCTTTCTGTTTATTCCTCCTTCAGTGTTGGAAGATTATACTTTTCTAAAAATTTGTCCATTTCATCAAGATTTTCAAATTTCTTGGCGTATAATTGTCCATGGTAGTTTCTTACAATCCTTTGTATTTCTGTGGTATCAGTTGTTATTTTTCCTCTTTCGTTTCTGATATTATTAATTTGGGTCCTCTTCCTTTTATTCTTGATGAATCTGCTAAAAGGCTTGTCAATTTTATTTATCTTTTCAGAGAATCAGCTTCTGGATTGGTTGAACCTCTGAATGGTTCTTTTCGTCTCTATGTCATTCAGTTCTGCTCTAATCTTGACTATTTCCTTCCTTCTCCTTGCTCTGGGATTTATTTGTTGTTGTTTCTCCAGTTCTTGAAGTTGTAGTGTTAGGTCTTTTATTTGAAATGTGTCTATCTTTTTTAGGTAAGCCTGTATTGCTATGAACTTCCCTCTCAGGACTGCCTTTGCTATGTCCCATAGGTTTTGGACTGTTGTCTGTTCATTTTCATTTGTTTCCAGAAATTTTTTTATTTCTTCTCTTATCTCATTATTGACCCATTCATTGTTTAATAGTCTACTGTTCAGTCTCCATGAGTTTGCAAGTTTTTGAAGTTTCTCTTTGAGGTTGATTTCCAGTTTCAAGCCCTTGTGGTCTGAGAAAAAGTTTGGTATTATTTCAATTCTCCTGAATTTTCTGAGGTTTGCTTTGTGTCCTATCATGTGGTCTATCTTAGAAAAACTGCCATGAGCATTTGAAAAAAATGTGTATTTTTCTTCTTTGGGATGTGAGGTTCTATATATGTCAGTTAAGTCTATTTGATCCAGTGTGTCATTCAGCCCCACAATATATTTATTAATGTTTGTTTGGAAGATCTGTCCATTTTTGACAGTGGGGTGTTGAAATCCCCTACTATCAGTGTGTTGCTGTCTATATCTTTTTTTGAAGTCATCCAACAATTTCCTTATAAGCTTGGGGGCTCTTATATTGGAAGCATATAAGTTTACAATGTTTATGTCTTCTTGATATATTCTTCCTTTAAGTATTATAGAGTGTCCCTCTGGGTCTCTTTTTATGGCCTTTGTTTTGAAATCTACATTGTCTGATACAAATATGGCAACCCCGGCCTTTTTCTCATGCCCATTTGCCTGGAATATTTTTTTCCATCCCTTTACTTTCAATCTGTGTAGGTCTCTTGCTCTGAGGTGGGTCTCTTGTAGGCAGCATATGTGTGGGTCATGTTTTCTTATCCATTCAGCCACCCTGTGTCTTTTGATTGGGGCATTTAGTCCATTCACATAGAGAGATATTACTGATAGAAACTTACTCATCTTTTCTCTTTGTACCTGTGTTTCTCTCTCTCTCATTCTTTTCCTTCATCTGCTTAAACCAGTCCCTTGAGCATATCTTGGAGTGCTGGTTTTGTAGAGACGTATTCTTTTAGCCTTCTTTTGTCTGGAAAACTCCATATTTCCTCTTCTATTTTAATTGAGAGCCTAGCTGGGTAGAGCAGCTTTGGCTGTAGGCCTTTGCTTTTCATGACTTGGAATATTTGTTGCCATTACCTTCTGGCTTGTAGTGTTTCTGTTGAGAAGTCAGCTCCTAGGCGTATCGGGGCCCCCTTGTATGTTACTTTCTCCTTCTCCCTTGCTGCCTTGAGGATTCACACTGTCTTTGATAGTTGCCATTTTAATGATGATGTGTCTTGGAGTGGACCTCTTTGAGTCCCTCTTGAGTGGGGTCCTCTGTGCCTCCTGGATCCATGAGACCCCTTCTCTCCTCAAATTAGGGAAATTTTCCATCACTACTTTTTCAAGGAGCTTCTCTATCCCTTGCTCCTCTTCTTCTCCTTCTGGTATCCCTAGTATACGGATATTATTGCGTTTCAGGTTGTCCTGCATTTCCCCTAATGCTTCTTCATTCTTTTTGAGTCTTTTTTCCATTTCTTGCTCTTTCTGGAGCTTCTTTCTACCTTAGCCTCCATCTCACTGATTCGATCCTCAGCTTCATCCAGCCTGCTTTGGATTCCTTGTACTGTGTTCTTCAATTCAGAAATGATATTCTTCATAGCCTCTTGTGTCTTCTTGATAGTTTCTATGTCCTTTTCCAGGCTGATATAGTTTGCTGTAAGATCCTGATAGTTTTTCTGCAGTTTCTCATAGTTATCTTTGAGCTGGCTGAGCTCATTGAGCTTCCTTAGAACCATTGTTTTCAATTCAATATCTGAAAGTTCCCTTGCCTCTATTTCATTTAGCTCTCTCTGTGGGGAGTCCACTTTTCCACTCATTTGAGGGGAACTTCTTTTTCTTCCCATTTTTGTGAGAGTCTGTTTAGTAATTTACTTATTTTTTTAATTTATTTTTGCTTCTGCTTCAATTGGGCTGTCTAAATTTCCTGACTTTGTGGATTAAACTTCTATGGTAGTAGGCAGGTGTTTTTATTTATTTATTTGTTTTTGTCCTTACTTTTCTTTCTGGGCCTGCCTCTGAAGATGTCAGTTATTGACCCTATATGATCTTGGGTTGTTTATTTGAGCCTTCCAGGAGTCTGCTGTCTGTGTCTGACTCCTGCTTGGAGCAGCTCTGTGACACCTTCGGTCAGGGCTCATCTATTTTTTGGGATTGCTCTGCACTCTCACGCCTGGTCTTTGTGTGGGCTCCCGGGAGCGGCAGGATCCCCCACCTGCCTGGACTCGCATGTGTTTGCCCCAGACCAGGGGGCTTAATCGCGACCTCCCGTACTCATCTGGCCCCCCTAGCCGGCGAGCTCCCCAGCACTGGTCAGCTTAGGGTCTTCTATTGTGTGTTTTCCCCGCTTTTGGCTCTTTGGGTGCGTTGCTTGCCCTCGCCAAACGGGGACTATGGAAATGGGAGGAAGTCAACTCCAGGACTCTCTGGTTAATCCTGTCTCCGGTCTCTCCTCCAGGGACTTTGGGAAGTCTGTGACCTCTTCAACCGGGGATCTACTAATTTGGGGGGCCACTCCACAATCACAGGCGGGTGGGTCAATTTACACCTGCCCTTGCTGCTCTGTGCACTCCCTCGCAGGCCATATCAGCGCCAATCTTTGGGAGGCCTTGACAGCAGGTGCAAGCATTCGCCAGCCCGCCCGGGTCACACACACACTCGCCGACCCTCGCTGGTCACTCGGCGCAAGTGTGCGTGCCTGCACTGGGTGTTTTTGGGTTTCTATGTGTGCTTTTCGATTTTTGGCTCTTTGGGGGTGTAGCCTCTTCCTGTGCAATGGAGACTACAGCAAGGAGAAGGAGTGGGGACTCCCCGGTTCCTCTTCCTGTTCTTTCCCCAACGCCTCCGTTTCTAGTCTCTCCTCAGGGGTCTCTGGGCAGTTCTGTAACCCCTTTGGCCAAGGATCCACCACCTGTATGGACTGCGTTTCAATCGCAGGCAGTCTGGTTCCTGCGCGCCCCTCTTCTGCCTCTTTGGGGGCATGCCTTTCCAGCCCACAATGGAGACTACAGAATGGGGAGGGGTCGGGGCTCTCTGGTTCCTCCTCCTGTTCTTTCCCCAATGCCTCCATTTCTAGACTCTCCTCAGGGGCCTCCAGGCAGTTCCGTGACCCCTTCGGCCAAGGATCCACCCCCTGTGCAGACTGCGTTTCAGTTGCAGGCAGTCTGTATACCATAGGTTTTTGATCCACTCATTTATTGATGGGCACTTAAGTTGCTTCCAGCATTTGGCTATTGTAAATTGTGCTGCTATGAACATTTGGGGTGCATAGGTTTTTTTGAATTGGTGTTTTGGGATTCTTAGGGTATAATCTCAGCAGTGGAATTGCTGGGTCAAAAGGCAGTTCCATTTTTTAGCTTTTTGAGGAAATTCTAAACTGTTTTCCATAGTTGCTGCAACAGTCTTCATTCCCACCAACAGTGTACTAGGGTTCCCTTTTCTCCCCAACCTCACCAGCATTTGTTGTTTGTTGATCTGTTTATGATGGCCATTCTGACCAGTGTGAAGTGGTATCTCATTATGGTTTTAATTGCATCCCTCTGATGACCAGTGATGATGAGCGTCCTTTCATGTCTCTGGGCCCCATGTGTATCCTCCTTGGAGAAGTGTCTGTTCAGGTCCTTTGCCCATTTTTAATTCGATTGTTTGTCTTCCTGGAGTGGAGCCATGTGATCTTTTTGCTGTTCCCATTTTTCACTCCCAATATCGTAGTTTGGTTTTTTAAAATTATTATCTAGAGTGAGCCAGTCTATTGGCTGTTTAAATAACCATAAAATACCAAGCAGGATTATGGAAGGAAAACAGAAAAAACTCAAGCTGTTTTAGGTGGTAAGAGAGTTAACAAAATGCAGGAAATTAGAGGATGCATAACCAGTGGAAGAACTAGAGAAACAAAGGAAATGGTGCAGTTGCATATAGTGCCTGAGTATGAGAAAATGCCCAACAGTGATGTCAGCAGTCTTCAGCAGTGAAACTGGCAATTCTCATGTTGGCAAAATCCTATGTTGGCTGACTGCTGACTTTTCCATAGCTGCTGAGGAAATGTGTTGTCTCATCTTTATTTTCCATACTGAAAATTCCATGAGAATCCTTCTTCCATGAATCCTACTTAGAATACTGCTGAAAAGACAGAATCTACAAACAAGCTCAATTTAATAAATTAATTGAGAAGTTGACAGGATAGATAGCCAACCTACAAAAATATTTTTTTTATTTTCTTTTTCAATTACACTTTACATTTAATGTTATTTTTTATTAGTTTCATGTGTACAGCATAGTGGTTAGCCAATCATATACTTTACAAAGTGTTCCAATTGATATTTCCAGTACCCAACTGGCACCATACCTAGTTATTACAGTATTATTGATAAATTGATTTCTTTATGAGAGCAATAAATAGTTGAAATTCAAAATAAACAATGCCATTACTAACCAAAAAATGAAATAGTTAGGTATAAATCCAAAAACCTTTGTATTAAATCTAAGGGCTCAACAATAAAAATATATACATACAAAAATAAAGACCTTTAAAAAAGAAGAGAGGTAGTGTTACCGAATTCAATATTTTTATGATGTCAATATTTATAATGTCAGTCCCTAATTTTAACTACAGATTCATTGTAATCCCAAAGTCCTAGCAAACATTTTTGTGATGTTCACAGTCTTATTCTAAATGTTATATGAGAAGGCAACAAAATATATTAGATACAAATAATTTTGAAGAAAACAAAGTGGGGTTCTACATAAAAACCTGTTATAATTTTACAATAATCAAGATAGTATGGTATTGAAAGGATAACCACATAAGTTAAAAGATGATAGACACCCTTGAAATAATCACACATAAATATATTGAGGTTTTCCAAAAGTACAAAAGCAATTCAATCAAGTATAGTCTTTCTGATATATAGTTTTGGAGTATTGGGTATCCATATTCAAAGAAATAAACATCAACTTACACAGCACACCTTATATAAAAATTAACTTTAAAACATAGAGCTCTAGTAAAGTAAAACTTCTAAAAATAGAAAATATTATATAAATATATTAATATGTATTCTTTTGTATTATATTAGACTTTTTCCTTTTTGAAGATCCATTTATGATCCAATCTTAGTGTCTCAT